CTTGAGGGACCATAGGAGAGGAGGTAGCTTCAGGTATGCCAGAGAGAAAAGTGTCAGTACTTATAGAATGATCAGTGCTGGTATTTGAAGTACTAGAAACCTGAGATGATAGACTATCAGAATCTTCAGAAAAAAGATCTATACGAATAAAATCAGATCTAGTCAAGCTATAAGTAGTGGATGAAATAGAAAAGAAAGGTATATGCTCAAGAAAAATAACATGATGAGACACATAAAATTTTTTAGTTATTGGATCAAAATAACGATACTCTTTTTTACCTTTACCATAACCAAGAAAGACACAAATAGTAGATCGAGATGACAGCTTGTTGCATTCAACATGAGGACGAAGAATGAAACAAGTACAACCAAAAACTCTAAACAAAAAATAATCAGGGGCATACTCATACAACTTTTCGAAAAGAGAAACACCTGAAATATGAGAAGATGAAATTGTATTAATCAAACCTACATCAGTAAGAACAGCTTCACCCCAAAACTCACTAGGAACAGAAGAAGACAAAAAGAGAGAACGAGCAGTTTCAACAATGTGCCTATGTTTTCTTTCAGCAACACCATTTTGTTCAAGATTATCTGTACACGAAGTTTGGTGAATAATTTCATCTAAGACAAACAACTCATCAAATTTATTAGAAGTGTATTCCCCACCCAAATCACACCTAAAATATTTGATAACAGCAGAATGTTGAGTTTTGACAAGAGCTCGAAAGGCTGTATATATCTCAAAGAATTCAAAACGATGTTTCATTAAATAAATCCAACAATAACAAGTATGATTATCAATAAAAGAAATATAATATCGAGACCCTCCTTTTGTGGCAACAGGAGAAGGTCCTCATACATCAGAATGAATAAAATCAAATGGAGAAGAAGCAACAGAAATACTTCGATTAAAGGTAAAACTGAAAATTTTGCCAGTTTACATCTACTACAATCAGAAATATCACAAGTTTGCAAATTTCCTAAAGCCCATGTGGATGCCAAAAATCTCAAACGAGAAGACGAAACATGACCTAAACGAGAATGTCATAAATAAAAACTAAAAGAAGAAGGACTCAAACGAAAAGAAGATAAATCAACACTAGTGGCAGCAGCAATGACACTTTTAACTCATCCAAAATATATAGTCCCCCCTTCCTATGGCCTGTCCCAATCAACTTCTGAGACTACAGATCATGCACATAACAAGAAGAAGAGAAAAAGATGACTAAATTTTCAGAATCACATAACTGACCAACAGAAGCAAGATTTAATATGAGTTTTGAAATATGATAAGCATTAGGGAGAGACAAGTGAGGTGTGACAACAGAACCAACACTTGTTAAAGGCATAGGAGTGCCATCAACAGTCATTACAGGAATAGAAGATGAAAGAGATACATAAACAAAAGATGAAGAATTTGAAGACATATGATGTGAAGCACCAGAATCTAAGACCCATACAGAATGTGACATACCTGGAGAACTATGAGGCAACTGACCTCCTGAAGAAGAAGCAGACATAGCTTGTGGCTGTAAGGAGATAAACTTCTGAAATTGCTCAGCCAAGGTATTAGAATCGGTGAAAGAACTTGATGAAACTACTGCTGCAGTATTAGACTGTGGTGGTTTGTAATCCTGAGGTGGTCTAGAAGTATTAGATTGTGACTGGTTACCAGATGTTGAACAATCTAAAGAAATACAAGAGATAAAAAAAAGAGGAGACTAGAGTTTTATTGATACTGCATAATTCAATTGAATACAAGAAAGTAAATTAACCTAAATACAAAGAGATTATATATAAGTTAAACTAGACCGAAAAAATAAAAGATTATTCTACCCTTAATAAATAAAATAACCCTATATTTCTTAACAACTATAACATAAAAAATCTTGATCAATTATAACCGCATCCAATAGTCAAAGGTGTATAGATTATTTGACATACATTTCGATTATTTTTTTTTGTCTAGTGAAATACCAGTAGTCACGTCGAAAATAAAATATTCATAAGTTTGACTAAAAAAAATTATCAAAATTTAAATTTAATATATCTAAATTTATAATTTATTTTTATTCTTACTTGCCGTGCATTGGAGTTATGATAGTCAAGAAATGTGAGTCCCATAACGTGTCATAGAGATTTAAGGTATCGTGCCCAGCCCAAAGTTCCATAACAGAAGCTACCATATCCATAAACACTTGTTAGTCGTTAAAAGTCAAACATGGAGAAGGAGGAGTCCCTTAAAAGATGCCCACGCCTTCCAATCCACTCATCCTTCACCACGGACCACTGCGGGGGCTGTGGACTGGACCACCTCTAATTATTGTGGTTCTATCTATATGTGATGCTTACATCATCATCTAATATTCTATACATACCAACAATTTTATATTAAAAAGTTTTTTTTTGCATGCCTGAACCCCGGGCTAGCTATGCATTCAACATCGCCCAAAGACCACAGTAATAAACACTACTTTACATAAGCCTTTGTAGGCACTATGTCAAAAAAATGACACTTAGGAGGAGCCCAAAGGCTAAAAAGAGCGGGTATGATTAGATTTGATTATCATATATTCTAATTTATTTTTTCATTTTCAAGTTTCACTCTTTTTTTTAGATCATCTCTCAATTTTTAAGACGAAATAATTGATTATTCATTGAATTAGTGATCTTCAAGCGTCTTATCCATTTATTTAAAGGGGCTATTTTGGACTTTTTTTCACTACTAAAAAATATTCGTATATTATATAATATGAACCAATATTAAATATTTTAAATTGAATCGAGTTCGAGTAATTGAGTTTGATCTACAACCCTTTTATAATTTGTAACTCTGCTTTAGTCGTGTGTGCTCGAGTTTGATGCCAATGATAAGGTTATTGTCTTTCTATGGGAATCTAGCTTAAAAACAGACGCTAAAGTCAATAGTTAGGTTGTTTAGGATTAGTCAAAAACTATCTAAGCCGTCCAAGTCATATTTTATTGATTATTCCATTCGTTATTCAAGTGCATAGCTGCTTGAAAAATGCATAAATTTGTGCTTGTTTTGTGGTTGCAGTCAAAGTCATAAGGTTCTCTCTCTTCTTAAGCAGACGAAGGTACAATAATTTCCTGCAACCTGGCATCATTTAGCTTCTTCTAAGTTCTAACATTCATCATGGTTTGAGGAGGATAAGGCATATTGTAATCCAAAGACAAATTTAGAGTGTGGAAGGAGGGAGGGAGGGGGGGAGGTTTGTTATTGTTGACCATGTTACAAGATATGATTGTTAATCGAGTCGAATGTTGTGAGTTTGAATTTAGTCTGTCAAAATTATTTTTTTTAAATGAATCTAAATAACTCGACTATTTTATGGATAAATGAGTCAAGTCTTACGAGCTCGAGCCAAATTTTTTAAAACGAGCCTATAAAATTGTTCAAGCTCGGGCTCAAGTCGAGTCTCCTCTGAGTCGAGCTCAAGTAATTCGGTTCAATTATCAACCCTAATTAAGAAAGGGAATAAATGAGTTGAGTCGAGCTAAATTTGTAAAATAATTTAAACTATCTCGAACGAATTTTTGGCAAATACATCTCGAAAAGTATGGCCTATAGATTTACAAAAATATTGAAGAGTTTAAAAACACACTAAAGATTTAACTTGTTTTCATAGGCAAGTAGTGTATATCAATTATTGCTTGAAAATGAAAGACAGAATTAATTAGGCTGCACATGGTATGGCAAACAACTTNTTGAACGAATTTTTGGCAAATACATCTCGAAAAGTATGGCCTATAGATTTACTAAAATATTGAAGAGTTTAAAAACACACTAAAGATTTAACTTGTTTTCATAGGCAAGTAGTGTATATCAATTATTGCTTGAAAATGAAAGACAGAATTAATTAGGCTGCACATGGTATGGCAAACAACTTCAACCTAGAAGTACACTCACTTTGTTTGATTATAATTGTACTTATTTTTCCATTCAACAAACAAGAAACAAGAAAAAGAAAACTCAGGAGGTTCAACAAAATTTCCTAACTAGGGCAGTTCACAAGTTCAACCACTAATCCAAACAGGTAACCAGCATTAGCAGATATGCAATAAAGATTGAAGAAATGAATCATTAAACAAGTGACACATCTTAAGAGTGTATTTGGATTTGGGGAAGGATGGAAAAGAGAATAAAATTGAGAAAAAGGAGTGGAATATCGAAAAATAAAGCGGTATTTCAATTTGATCTCTCTTGGATTACAAAGTACGATTGTAAATTGATCATTTCATATCAATGTTGTGAATTCGTGTCGTGTTAAAATATATTCAACTCATACTCAAATCATTTATAATCATGTATAGTGAAGTTTAAATCGTTCATAGTGTTTGATTAGTCCTAAAATTGACCCACTTGTTTAATGAATGAGTCTAACGAATCCATTAATTTAGTATTGANTTAAGTTTAAATCGTTCATATTGTGTTTGGTTAGTCTTAAAATTGACCCACTTGTTTAATGAATGAGTCTAACGAATCCATCAATTTAGTATTGATTTTATGTTGAATTTTCACATTTCACGCTTAATATTGTCGGGTCTAATAAAAAAATCACTTGTAAATTCCAAAAGAAAACTAATGATTATTACGAATTGGAGCTAATCATATTGACAATTTCCTTCGATTCTTTTCTCTTATATTCGAACTAAACTAATGGAGGGAAGAAATTAGAAACATGTCCTACCTTTTCCCCCAAACATACCATGGCACAAGAACACGAAAGAAGCAACACTGGGAGGGTAGTTTAGTCATTTCAAAATTTTCAAGTTCCCGGAGATGGGGGTAATCGTAGGACAATGACTCCATAAGACTCGCTCCAGGGCCCAACCCTCCCCCACAAAACAAAAACCTCCTCCCATTCTCTCTCTCTCCCAAAAAAGCGACTGAAACAGAGTAATTGAGAGGAACAGAGAGGGTATCTGAGGAGAGAGAAAACAGACAGAGAGAAAGACCAAAAGCAGGGACTCATCTATGATTGACGAGAGAGAAAAGACCACACAAAAGCTTTTGGTTTTGGTGAGTGTGTGTGTGCGCCTGATCTTATCTCAGTTTCTTTGCCTCTCCTCTGCTTTTTGAATTGCTTTCTCGTCATTGCTGTCCTATAATTTCTCTCTCTCTCTCTCTCTCTCTCTCTCTTGCACAGTTCCAATACAACTTTTTTGTTACATAAAATCTGTGACATTATCAGATCTACTCCTCTGATTCGATTGCTCAACGTAATAGACCAGACACGAAAGGTATCCGATGCTCCCCACCCCCCACTGTACGGCCTCTTCGTTCCTACCTCATTTATTGCACAATTTGTGACAAGTTTTTCATACAATTTTCGTTTTGTAGATCTGAAAGCTCCCTCCATTTATTCAGTTTTTGTGATTGATGTCCTGAGGAATTGTGCACTTAATCCAAAATCACTTTTCTCAATGCGCTTCCGATTTTAAGATACCTTGTCTTGACGGCAACCGACAAATGAGAGTTTCCGAGCCTTCAATTTCTGTGTAACTATCGATTTTCTCGAGAAAATCGAATTTTCTGCTTTGTTTATTTGGGTCATTCATTTCCTAGACATGTTGTTCCGGTACTTTTTTATAATTTTCTATTGAGGATTTTCTCAGGAATTTGCGACTTATTCTTGAATTTTTCACATTTTTCTTTTCTCTAATATCTTCGCATCATTAATCCTTTTCCAAATCCGTCAACATATATTTTAGCAATTTCCTCTACCACTCTTCTGTTTAAACTCTCTCAATTCATTGGGAATGGAAAGAGGTGGTGGTGGTGGAGGCGGTAATGGTAGTATTCGTCGGCGGCTATCAACGGAGGAAAGAACTGATTCATCGAACAACCTCCGAGACTTGCTCCGATTCAAAGACGACAACAGCCACCGTCCAATCCTGACAGGTCTAACATTAAGCGCAGTATTAGGCGCCGAGGAAAGACCATTAAACCGGACACTTCTTGACATCATCCGCGATGACTCGGCCGTTAACAAAGACCACAGGAAGACCTGGAAATATTTCAAAGACAAGCTCCGTCTCCGCCGCACCAGCACCGCTTGGACCTCCACCATCCACATTCCAACCTCCGATGTTCCGATTCAGCAAAATAATAATAGGATGATGGCGCGGCGGCATTCGACTAGGATTCAGAATATGAATGCTCCCAACTCGAATGACACGACTAATGAGTCGACCCAACCAGAATTATCATCAGCAACTCATGCTGAACTGAATTCAATAGCGAGTAATAGAGCCATGTCGTTGAGTCGCAATTCGAGCATTATTCCAGAGAGACAGATCAGTAGGTTGAATAGTACGAACGAAAGCAATGTTGCTGGGGACAGAACAGCTTTACCCACTGAGGAGGGAGTGGGAGAGGCAGAGGCAGAGGAAGGAGTAGGAGAGACAGAGGAGACGGCAGTGGAGAGGGAGGAGGAAGGGGGAGGGGAGGCACCTGAGAGGATGTCGTTGATGGCGTTGTTGGCGGAGACGGATAGGCAAATGGGGTTGGATGGATCGGCGTTTATGATGGATGATGAGGAAGAAGAGGAAGTGGGAGAGAGTGGAGGGGTGGTTGGTGGAGGAGAGTATAATAATTGCTGTGTATGCATGGTGAGGCACAAGGGTTCAGCGTTCATACCATGTGGGCATACATTTTGCAGGCTGTGCTCTAGGGAGCTTTGGGTACAGAGGGGGAATTGCCCTCTTTGCAATGGGTTCATCTTGGAAATTCTTGATATTTTCTGATTCAAAAAACAAAAAAAAATCCAATCTTCAACAGCCCAGTTCATACTACCTAGTAAATCTCAATCTTGTTTTCTTTCTGTTCTATGATTTTCTTTTTATTATTTGTTTTGATCATGAAATTTATCTTATGGTGGAATCTGGGCTGGTAATAAGAAATTGGATTATTAGTTATATTTTAATAAAAGTTCGTAGAAATATTCTGGTACATTAAAAATGAGAGAGAAAAAGAAAAGGGATTTGTTATGGTGGATGGGTTTGGCCTCCAATGATCTTTTTTGTGTTTGTAATAGTAGTTCTGATATATGTAAAAATGTTAAAAGAATGGAGACAGGGCCTGCTTTAAGGTCAAATGTCGTGCTGTATGAATATGTACGAAAGGTTTGTTTGTCTTGTCTTTTTCTTTTTGGCCTTTCCTTTTATGGTTTTCCCCTTCCTATGCTGTAATTAAGAAGTTGGAAATTATTCAAATGGCAAATTAGTTGCATCCATGATCCAATTTCAAACATGGAATATATTAATAATAATCCATCCGTAAAGACTTAATACCAAAAATCGACAATTAATCAAGTAATATTTATATTTTAAATAATAATTTATTTTTTTTTCTTTTTTTTTTTCTAATCACATAATTCAAAATTAAAATAGACAAAGAGCAAGTAAGAGAAATGTGTGTGTGTGAGAGAGAGAGAGAGTAGAGAGGTATATAAGAATTAACGTATTGTCTTGTATTGAAGAGTGTACTGCTTGAATTGTTTAACATTGACGACTATACAAAATAAATGATTTTTTATAAATGTGTAATTTAAATTGATAGTTGTAATATTAGACGGATGTTACAATCACTTGTGAGAACAAGGTTTTGTCATATCATGAAAGGCCATGTCAATTACAACAACCACCTATTTGTTTTTTTTTTTT